TAAGTCAGGCTGCAGTCTGATGCAGATGAACTAATTCCCTGCATATCATGGTTAAATATATTTCTGATTTCCAAGCATTTAATCAAACATCTGCTTTAGTTTAATAGAAACATGTTTACATTATCAAAGCTCTCCTGTTTTCATTCTTTTTTCAGTTCTTTTCTTTGCAGATAAAATTTTGGCTGCACAGTAAAACTCCTCCTCCTCTCTGGAACGTCTGTGTTTGGAGATAATTGTAGGCCTACACATAAATGATTTTAACCCAACTCTTGACTTTTACATCTGTCTTGACAGTTTGCAAAGACACAAACAGCAAACCAAGTGCAGAAAACACTGTTATTCTCAAACACCTGTTCAGAAATATGAAGTTTTTTTGTAAAATTACATTTTAAATCATGTGTTTAGTTAGAAAAACATTACACTTTGGACTCCAAATAAGATTCACTTTATAATTTAGCTTTCATATCAATCTTCACACTGTGAATGCATTCACCTGAGCTTTCTTTACTCTTCTAAACCCGTTGCTTAATTGTAAACTAATAAAGACAGTAATAAAAAAATAGGCAGATAGCTTTTTCTGATGTTCACTGACCAAACACATCCTGAGAATTTGAGAAAACAAAATGAAGAACAACAATAAAAAGTTATGGTTTCTCTTTGAGATAGAAATGCAAATGTGTAACTGGTTTCTTTCTAAAGTTGAGAGAAATGTGTGTTTTTAGTGATATTTTACAGTGTATATGTAAACGCACAGAGAAAAAAAGACACTGAAGGTTGAAATTAGGAGGAAAGGTGTGAAAGTGAGATATAACTGCAAATATGAGCAAGTCATGAAAAAAACTTTTTTTTAGGATTAAAAAGTGCCAGGGCTGAATGCATTTGTTTTTATCTTAGTAGCCTCAAACCACTAAACAGAGAAATTCATCCTCTATAAAATATCTTTACTTGCAAAATCTGAAAAACTGTATAAAGTGAACGTGATGTAGTTTGCCAGCTGGAAAACAACAAAGGGCAGCAGCGTGACAGGTCATCACATCCCACTCTTCAGTTTCATCTCTATTTCAAACACGTTGTGCTCTTTTTGACACAGCTGCAGAGCCTTTCAGTGAGACGCTGCACAAATCATTTTGAGCTGTGTTTCAATAAATTCAGCGTGAAAGAAGACAGCTTTCTAAAACGCACACAAAGGCACAACAGTCAGTGTGAGTCACGCTAAAAGAGCAAATTGTTTTCATCTGATTAGAATTCAAAAATCAAACTGAAATCACACATTCAATGTTTTTTTTGTCTGTTTACCAGTTACATTTGTAGCACCAGTATTATAAGAAACAGAGAGCCCATGCGGACGTTATTGTCAGAGTTTATCACTTGTGTTATGTTATCAGCTTCACTTCCTGTTATTATAACTGCCCTCCTCCTTATCACACACCTGTGTTCGATCATCTGTTTCAATATTTATATTTCCAGTACAGTAAATGCAAAGCATCATGGTACTTAGAATACTAACTGTGGGTGTAATACATGATCACATAAGCAGAATATACTGTAAAATGACAGGGTAACAGTGTACAGGACATTGGATTTAAAACATTTTCAGCTCTGAAAAAAAATTGCACTGAACCAGACGAACTGTCTTCTGTTTCCTTTTGAGTTATTTTAAGAAAATGTAAATCATCCATCCCATTTTTATCTGTTTCTCTTTGAATTATTCAAAAAAATTTGAGCAATATTATAATTTAAAATGTTAATAAATGACAACTTAATATGATTTGTTCAAAAAGGAGGTGGGTAAATTAGGGTGATGTGCTTCTTTTCATTTACTTATAACTTTGATCAGTGCTAATGAGACTTTACCAGTTTATTTCAGCTCATCATTAGGCGTCAGTTTGACAAATTTTGGCAATAAGATGAATTAATTTATGGTAAAATTTGGACCGAGTAGCCTATAGAAAAGTAACATATTGTGCAATGACAACCTGCTGCTAACCATGCAAACACTGCTGAAGATATCAATATGTGTTCAGTGAAAACAATGTGTTCCAGCTGTCTGAAGTGCATTTCTGACACCGGCTGAAGGAATCATTAGCAGCATTTAGCAGTACTAGCAGCTGCTTTTGTCTCAAAAAATAAAAGTTGCTTTTGTCTCAGGATGATGATGTCATAACAAAAGCAAGGCTGTGTTCCATTCCGAAATATTCAAATAAACTTTAGCATTTACATTTTAGATTGAACTTTAATATAATGTAAACATTATATAAAAACATTAATAATAATGTTAAATAATTAGCGAAATGTAAAAACAGTGAGCTAAATAAAATGTTACGGATGATTTTCAACAAGGATTTTACACTCAGAAAGCTAAATAATGAAAACAAGTTAGTCACCGATTTTAACATTTTATAATTAGTGTTCCATAATCATTTAGACATAAACTGATTATAAGTTTATTGTTATGTTTTAGTTCAATAAACTTGATCTATCCACTTTTTTAAATCAGACTAAAGATTGCAGATTAATTTTCCCTGAATTTTTTTTTTTTTTTTTTGCGTCAAGGAAAATGTTGATGTTCCCAATTATTTGAAAATGATGTTAACATGGTGTAAAATTAAGTACAACTCGATCCTTTTTTAATTTTTTTTTAGAATTGCAACATCTGGAAGAATTCACTTTCAAGGTCACTGACTTCCAGTTCACATATTACTTCTCTGCAGCAGAAATAAAGAGGATGGGGGGCCTCAGAGAGGTTGGAGGAAGTCTTTTTTTTTTCGTTGTGCATGAAGCAAGAAGCGTGAAACAAGATTCATGCAGAACTCCTGAACTTTTTGAGTGAAATCAGTTTCCCAGATAGAATTTCTCAGCATTTATCCAGTAATCCCCCCCACCCACTACCCCCCCCCCACCCCCACCCCCCGGTACATTTTGGATTGCAATTTTGTGCAAATCACATATGTTTAAAAAACTTGTGAGCTGTTGAATGAAAAATATCATATACATCCTGTAAGCTATCATTAAGCAGTTTCATGCAGAAAATTTAAGCATTACAATCTATTCTTAAACTTTGTTGTCAGTGAGTTATACAGTCAGACAGTGGTTTATGTTCAATGTGTTTTCACAAGTGTTACAGCTGCATTCATAGGGAGCAATAGTTTTGCTCAGTTTATTACCAGTTTATAGTGAAGACTGGCAGTGACTTCCTACACCTGAACTCTTCCTTTGACATGATAACCTGAAATTCCTCCAGTGTTTTGCTAAACAGTGAAAGTTTTTTTTTTTTTCAGGCCGTGATGAGGTCAGGTTTCAGCTGGTTTTGGCAACAAGTAAAGTAAGCACCTTGACAGACAAGTATTTAAAACAAGACGTAGCACGACAGAGTTTAGACAAGCTGAACGTGCTGCAGTGTGCTGAAGCTGCTGTTTATGATGAAGAAGAGCTTTAATGAGTTTCAGTTTCATCCGCCGGGTCAGACCAGATGGTGTTCTTTGATTTTATGGATGGGTAAAAGGGAATAAAGCAGAATGTTCATTTGTTGTAAAGTTCCAGAAACAACATTTAACACAAACATCATGCTGTCATCAGACCAGATTTAAAAATTTTGCTTGTAATTATGGAGAAAGCTGTGCTGTAAACACAACCTGCAGGAGGCAGTAAATCTTTAAAACAGCACACTTGTGTGAATGCAGGACTGCAGCACGTTCTTATGTTTTGAATTTAAATATGTGTTAAAGGAGAAGTCCTTTTGAGCTATTATTATAAAGGTAGGAAGGCTACGAAATGTTTAAAATAACTTTTGTCCTTGGCACAGTTTTCATGGATGTTGCAGATTTAAGCTGTAAGAAAACATTATCTTTTTGCTGCTGTTTATGCTCTAAAATAAAAACACACGTGCTGTCTATGTGGCTGCAGTGAGACAAGTTAACAATGAAAAATTGCAAAGCTATCATTTTTGTTTTTGCTCTGTGGTTGTTCACACTCATGACCCCTAAAAGCTGTTGCAGTTTGTTTTCACAACCTGGAGCAAGATGGGGCCGATGACCTGTCACCTTGGAGCTGGAAATTAAAACTTCACTCCTGAAAGAAATATGTGATGAACGACTCTTGAAGCGAATCGCCTTAATGTAAACTCATTTATCATGTTTTTATGTATCCGGTTAAACTCTGCTGGCTGCCAGAAACAATAACTTGCTGCCATGTTGTAATTGTTTAAAGCTCAGAGCTTGAAATGTTGAGCCACTGTGTCGCTGACAGGTTCAGGCCTGCGTGTTAAAAAGCTGAAATAAAGACTTAACTTTGGCTATTGTGCTCCTGTTAGCTCATCTGTCTAATTATAGATTATACCAGCTTATGTGAGGCTTTATACTTGTTGAAGAATACATATGAGGTACATTATTTGTAAAGAGTGATAATTTATAGATAAAAATTAAACTGTAAGATGGAGGTAAAATATCATATTTTCAATATTTCCCTGAAGATAAACTGGCACAAAATCTATCACAAAACTGAAATCAGATGGGTCACTAAAATACATCTCATTTTATTTTAAATGTAGTGATAATTTTAAAAAATGTCACTATTAGATAAACATTAGGCATACTTTCTGTGAAAATGCAATGTGAGTGCTGAATGACTTTGCTAAAATTTGATGATTAGGACAAAACTAAGTTGTTAAAACTGAACAAAGCAGAATACTAGCTAAAAAGCTAAAAAAAAAAACAAAATGCTACCTAAAGCCAAAAAGTAGCAAACCACTGACAAAATGATTAAAAAGACTATTTAACTCTTTACCG